GCACTTAGGGATTATAACCCTCAGGCAGTAGAATTCTCCTTTCTGTGTTGCCGGAAAAGAGGGACCACCAAAAAATTAAAAGAATAAATTGAGTGGAACAATTTATTTTTTCAATTCTAAATTGTATACATATTTAATAGCCTCTATTAATGCCAAAAACATATCCTTTTTGGCCTTTTTTGTGTTACGCCTCCACAAGTACTCCACTACCACATCAGCGAAATTACCGGTGTGGTTGTAATTCCGCGTAGAAAAGAATCGCTTCACCACCCTCCATTGCGATTCTATCCGCTGTGTGTGGGTCCCGTCTTCTGCGATAAACGGATTAATGGCGTCGCTATGATTGACCTTCTGATGGGTGAAACCATGATCAGAAAGGCAATCATATGCGCGCCAAAAATCCGTCCTTATGATCGACCCCTCGGCCACATGCTTCTTGATCAGCGGAATCAGAATATCCGCTGACCTGCAGTTGTCTGGGCATACTTCCAGGCGTAGATCCTCGCTGCCATCTTGGATCATGCCCAAGACCCAGTGACCCTCCACTCGTCTGCCTGAAAATGGGAAAGGGAAAATTAAAATCATAACACAACAAGGGAACAAAAATTACCTTTATTGAACTTGCGTTTTCCAAATTTACTCTCGTCAATCTGGACTATCTTCCCCGGACCACCTATTTTTCCGCTGGCTTCTTGGTGGTCCAACTGGTATATTACCACGGCTTCTCGACAATAGCTATACCAGTCGGTGATAGTCGCAGATGAGAGAGTTGTTTGTTCTTTCACGTGGTCTTGGCGCAGAACCATTTCTCGGCTGAAGTTCTCAACGAAGGCGTACATGAGATAGTACACGTGGGGCACGCTTATACGGACCCCCTCGAACCACGTCCCTGCAGCTACAGATACGCGGGGTCTTTTGGCACAATTTCCCCGCCGGCATACGAAAAACCCAAACTTGCCACCCTTTCGCCTATTCATAGGTAACTTATGAAAGGGGCAAACCCTTGTATTTGGGATTAAGCCGTGCTCCTCCGCGAATTGAGTCCCCTGCTCATGGGTCCTCAACTCCAACACCAAACGCGCAAAATTCCATCCACCGCCTTTATTGTAATCCCTTGCGCTTGCGCTTGTGGAAGGACGTTCATCTAGAAACAAAAGAATTGCATTTATGGGCAATTTTTATATACGTTAATTACTTACCAGCCATTTTAATAAGAAAAATCGAAAAAAATATGTGCAGCAATCGAAATGAAATAGTTCATATAAATTTCGCGTACAAAATGAAATTCACCGTTATACTTAGAAATACAACCATACCCAACACCCGAAAGGAGCCGCAGGGACAGTAAATACATATTTTCCATGGAAAGGTTTATATTTTTAATGCTGACTGGGTTATATCATATTTTCTTTTGTCTCTCATCCTTCTTGTATATTTAGCAGTTTGACAGCTAAACGCCACCATTTAATGTGCATATGCAACCAAAGGCAAACGCGTGGTTTTGAAGATGTTTTTATTTAATAAATTGTGATTGATAGATTAAAATTAAAGTAATAAAGAAAGTTGTAACAAGTCGAATAAAGTTTAAAGTGAAGGGGAATATAAAAATGCATTAGTGAAGTGGCTGCTTTAAGGAAAATAGGAGTGATAAATGTGAGCTATTTTCCGAATTTTACAAAAAAGGGCATATTTCAAACCCAATTTGTAAATAAATTAGTGACCAAAAATTGCAATAGTGGATGTTAAAGTAATGGGTAGACCCTTGGCTACAAGTGTGTGCAATTTTTTTTAGGATCGGGTCACCCCTTTGGACGCAATACCCCGAAATAGGTGGGCCACTTACTAAACCGTACCCAATATTCGAACAAACCTGAAAGGTAGCACTTTACGTTTTTTTTTTAAACATCAATATGTTAAAAACGGCTTTACAAAAACAATTTAAAAAAAAAATCAGCCAGGTCTCTCGCAATTGCCACTACAACATAAATAATTATGAAAAAATCGGAGTTTCGAAAGCCAAATGGTGTTCGAATTGGGCTGGAATGCCCCATATGTGCAATATCCTAACCTTTACATCTAAAAGTACGAAAAAAGTTGAAACAACACTTTTACACACCCACACCCCCTTTTTTCTACTTGCTTGCATATTTATGCCGTTAATGTTCGCTTACATCCACTTATGTGTCGAACTCGACAATTTTGCCTTTCAAATGCCACCTTCAAATCGCGCGCGCTGTTTATTTTCGTCCGTCGCCCGTAAAGCCAATTTACACAACGTACGGCCTAGTGATTGCAACGCCACTCACCTAAATACATACATACATACATAGTACATATGCATGAGTGTGTTTTTGGAGGCCAAAATGTAGAACTCAAAGGTAATTTGCACAAAACAAATTTCTCAACGTTCAACACCTTTACCTGAGCTTACCCGCTTACTTATGTATATATGTATGTATGTACAAAAATACAACGCCATCGCTCGTTCGACTACTCCGCGTACGCCTTTTCAATTCAACAGCATAGCACACTTTCAGCCGAAGCAGTTGGACTTGATATACATTTTCATAGCCACACTGGCGAAAAGCGCCTTGATTAAAGCTGGCTACCTAACTGCCTATCGGTCGAGTGTCCGCCGAGCAGCGATGGCATTAGTTAAATATACATATGTATGTAGTTGGCCAGAGACGGACGGTTAAAAGGGGGCGTGTGTGAGTGAGCGAAGAATTGAGGGAGTGGGCGGGTGTTAATGGTCGAATAGTTAAGCAGCGCGAATTACAATTCAATGCTGTTTTGGCTGCAAGACGTACAGACACATAACCATGCTTATGTACATACTTATTTCTATGAGCATCATGCGCGCCGTACCACCACCGCATGTTAACAGGCCAACATGCAAACCACTGGTGATGCCACGAGTACTACGCCTAGCTAAATGTTGGCATAGTGGGCCAAAAACACAGCTGTAGATGCATACTCACAAATGCAGCTATTTACTTGTAAACGAATATAAGCATATATGCACATACATGCATATGTATATGCAAGAAAATATGTATGTATGTCCATACATAGCACATCTGTCTCTTCTTGTGTCCGTCCGCTGCGTCTACCCGCCAGCTGGTTGGTTGGCTGGTGTGCTTTGGCTCAACTACTCCGATGCCCGCGGCCCGAGTGTGCAATCGTCTTACTACGTTGTTGTTAAATATTATCTTTATTATTTTTCTTATTGTTGTTGTTGGTATTGGGGTTGTTATTGTTGTATTTGTTGTTGGTCCAAAATTGCATGCCGTCCTAGTGACCCAGTTGCAGTTTATTAACCCCTGCCATAAATTCGATTTAAGCGAAAGTCCACACCAACACAACCATATGGCAGCACTACGCCACTACATATGGCCAACAACGTAGCGCGGCACAAGCAGTTATCCGTACAACAGCCAACACCGCTGCACAACGCACCACCCTATCCCCC